CCTTTCGCTCTCGTTTAGGGGGGCGTCCAACTCCCCAAGAGCAATCAGGACCAGCCCAGGAAGCCCGCTCACCTCTGAGACCAGCGGCTCAGACACACACACACACACACACACACACTCAGAGGGTCCCCTGGCACCCCCCGTGTGGGTCAGAGGGGATCCCATTCACCCCCTCCTGCCCAGGGAGCCACCTTTTAAACCCAGACTCGGGGTGTTTGGCACTCGGCCCTCTCCTTCTCCCTCTCCCCAGCTCCACACTCCGAGCCATATTTGGAGCACCGAGCATCCCAGCGCTGTGCTGCGGGGCTGGGAACTGCGGGGAGGGGGAGGCAAGGGGTGCCCGGGCGCCAGGCTGGCTGCTCAGGCCTGCAGACCGGGAGCCTAGCTGCTCCCCGTTTCCTTGCGGGGTGTGTCGGAGGTTGTCAAGGGAGCAGAACGCCTGACCCCGAAGGAGGAGCCCGCACTAGCCCAGGTGCTGATTGCCTCCCCGGATGGGGGCCTTTTCCCTCCAGGGGGTGGTCTTGGAAAGGGCCTCGGAGCCGGGTAGGAGGGCCGGGAAGCGTCCCTCGGCGCCCACCTCCCCTCCCTGCCGGCCTGGTGCCCTCCTCCCCCAGCCGTGGGCTCTGGACAGGCCGAGTTTGGAAGCGGCGACTTCCCCTTTAAGAAGGGATGGAATGTTGGAGCCGGAAGGTTCCTTAGCAGCTGGCCTGGGAGGGGGAGCCTGGCCATCCCCGCACACACACCCCAACTCCTGGGGGACTGGGGGCGGGGAAGGCCCCCACACTAACTGGGCGCTGGGCCTGGAGGCCTGTGGGGAAGCCTGGAGGCAGCCTCTGCAGCCCTGGCCAGAGGCCTGCACTGCTCTCAGCTGAGGCCCCAGCGCCGAGTGAGGGAAGACATTCTTCTCCCCAGTGTTCCGTGCGTCCGATCGTCCCTCCGGCTTCTCTCCCAGGACCCCGGCCCTCCTGGCCCTGGGCAGCAAGCACCCTCTCCCTCTTTCGCCTGGCATGCTTGTTGTCACCTTTCCCTCCCTGGAACTCAGGGTTCGATGAGCCCATGAGCTCCTGTGTGTAAAAGTGCTTTTCCAGTGGAAAGTGCTGTGCGGCTTCTAACCTCCTTTCTGTTGTCAGACTTACCCTGGGGCCGGGAGCTCCGATGTCTCATATTGCCTGGCCTCAGTCCAGAGACAGACACCCCTGCTTTCCCATCCTGGAGGTCCGGCCTCTCTAGGGACTCCCCTTTGGAAAATTCGGAAGAAGGATGAACTCCATCCGCAAGGATGGGAGGGAGGGGGTGATGCCTTGGCCGGGTAAGAGAAGAATAGAGTTAGGGGAGGCTGGGATACTGCCTGGGGGTATGGGGTAGGGGCAGATCAGCTGGAGTCCTGTGCACGCCCTACCCCAGGCCAGGCCTCACTGCAGTCACAGGAGGCCCCCCATTACATCCGCTCACTATCGACAGTATTGTTCTTTAAATTCACTGTCAGTCCACTCACTCTTGCTTAGCTTGACCAAATCAATAATAGGAAATCACCCATCTGGTTTTCTATTTATATTTCTTTATAAGATATGTTAAAAATAAATGTTAACTGTTGAATTAAGCAATGTCCATTCAGGTAACTCCTGAACACATCTTGCATATGTACTTGAACCATCCTTGGTAAAGTATCAGAGTAGGCCATTTTTACAGGGTTGAGAACAATGCTAAAAATGAAATGGAGGAGATTGATTTTGTTTTTATCCCCAGAAGGATTAATGAGCAGACCTGGTAGGTTTACCACAAACAACTAATAGCTGAGGAATAGAGGAGTGTGTGTGTGTGTGTGTGTGTGTGTGTACACATACACATTTAACAAACTCTTTATGGCGCTTACAGTGCACTAGGCACTGATGTAAGTGCTTTTCTAATTTTTACTCATTTAATTCTCTTATCAGCCCTATGAAGTAGGTAGTAATACCATCAGTTTACAGATGAGGAAATTAGAGCACAAAAACCTGAAGTAACTTACCCAGGTCACACCGTCTGGCTAGTTAGTGGCAAAGCTTGGTTCAACATCAGGAATCTGGCTCAAGTCCAAGGCCTTAGTCCCACTGTTGTAGGTATTACTATTATTATCACCATTTTACAGATGCATCCTCTCTGAGGGAGATGCTGAGCCGTGGCAAACTGTAGAGGTGATAGGGCTGCCACCTATCCTAGCCCCTAAGAAGAGGTCAGGCAGAGGCCAGTGACCCCTACTGACAGATGGGCGGTGGGTCGGAGGAGGAGGGCTGCTGTCTCTGCTTCCCCTCCAGGCTCGCCCTCTGAGGTGCTGGTTTGTGAGGGCTCCAGAAGTATTTGTCAAGCTCAGGGTAGGCCCACCCTCCTAAATTATTTGGGAAATGGAAGAAGAATAAGCATTTTTACCACTGAGGAGATAGTGTACCCAATGCTAGAGTGGCCTTGAGCTGTGGGAAGGGGCAACATGGGAAGTAGAGTCACTAACTATGTTCCTCCTGCTCCATGTCACACTGTCCTGCCTCTGGGCCTTTTGCTTGGAACACACTTCTTCCCCCTGCTTCTCCATGTCCAAATTCTCCTGTCCTCTGGGTTCAGCTTTTAAAGTTATGGTATTTTATCCTATTTATGCATACATCTGCTCCTAGCCAGGACTTGACATCTGTATCACTCAGCAGGTGTCTGTCCAATGAACACCTCTGCTGGTCTTACCACTCTGACCACTTCCCACCTGGAATATGCTTATGTGGACTGTAACCTCAGAGAACAAGGCAGGCTCCAGGTCTGATGCTGCTTGAGGTTCATACAACGGCAAGCGCGGGATCTAAAACTCACTGGGCTCTCTCTCTCTCTCAGCAAAGGCTTTTTAATTGCATGAACGGTGAATGATGAGCAGATGTGTTTGGTTCCTGCCCTTGCAAACTTACTCCTAATTAGAAAGAGAGTATGGATCCAGCTGAAAATTCACAAAGTTAGAAACTAGCTTTTATGGGATGCCTGGACTGTGCCAGGCATTTACAAATCCCATTTACCAGGATGAGACAAAGGCTTGGAGAAGTTAAGAAACTTCTCTAAGATGGGAGGGCTAATAAGTAGCAGAATTGGAATTTAAACCCAAGTTTGTGAGAGTGTGGTGTGTGTGTTTGTGTGTTCACGCATGTGTGCTCGTGTGCAGTGGAACCCTGAGCCATTTAGCTCCACTTGGGAAGGGGGGCTTTCTGAGGCTGATCAGCTGATCGTTATGAGTCAACAGAGCCTTGGCGACCTGTCAGTGACCCCCAGAAAGAGAGGAAACATCTGTAGCTGGAGCTGTGTGGTGGGGCCTGCTCGGGGAGAGGGTTGTGGGGACTCAGCCACGGTTTCCCACCACAGGGAGACCCTCTCTGAAGCAGGTCACAGAGTCCCTGCCATGTGTCCCACGCACCCCCTTCTCCTTTTGAGCCCCAGGTCCCACAGGGGGCTGCAAGATTAGGGTGTCCTGTGGCTGGACTGGCTGACAGATCTGAGCTACCTCTCTCTGTCCCTTCTCTCCCGCCTGTTCTGTCTCCAGGCTTTCTGCCATGATGGCCCTGAGCAGGATGATTTGAGCTGCTTTCTCGGGGTCGTTGTGGGGCTGGAAATGATGGAGGAGCCAGGGCTGGATGGGAGGGAGGAGGGTAGGCTCGGCCTTCGAACTTGGCTGTGAGTCCAAGAATGTGAACATCGCAAGGAGCCAAGCACGTTCCCAGTTCTGGGCAGAACTTCTTCAAGAACAGGGAGACTGGGCTTCGCAGCCTCCTTCCTTAGTGTCTTCCCTCTCTGCTCACAACTCCAGGCATGTGTCTCCCTCTTGCCCCTAATCACATCTTTCCAGCTCTGTCCTCCTGGGGGACTTCAAACTATTCCAGTTTCTTTCGCTGGCCCCAAACTGTGGTCATAGTCTGACTTCTTGCCTCACTGCATGCCTGTGACCACATCCCACCCCCACCCCCCATGCCTCACATCACTGCCTCCCCTACCTCACCTTTCACACAGACCCACATCACCGCTGTCATTGTACAGGAGAGAATGTGAAATACTGTCAAAAGAGTGTGGGATTTAGAGTCAGACAAGCTCTGTGGCTTTGGACAAGTTACTGAATGTTTCTCAGTTCCTTATTCATAAAATGGGGTTCATATTGTCTACGCAATGAGGCTGGTGTGAAGAATATATATTATCACTGTGGGGAGATAAGATGGTATAATTGGTAGGAATAAAGGCTTTGGAGTCAGGCTGATGAGGATTCAAATTCCAGCACTTCACTGATTAGTGGTGTCCCTATAGGTGAATTTCTGAACCTACTGAACCTTCGTCTCCCCATCTGTATCTTATATATAGCATTGCTGTAGTAAATGAAATGATACAAGTAAAGTGTTCACTTAGTGCTTGGCCCATAATACATGCTCAATAAATGAGAGCAACTGTTACTATTATCATTACGGCAGTAAATGTCTTCTCCCTTTTTCTTTCCTAATTTTCTTAAATTCCTCACCCACACCTCCCAGAAGAATGTCAGGATTCCCAATTGAGAAGGGAAGGACAGTAATCAGGGTGTGCTTTTTCCTAGTTTAGGGTCAGAGGGAAAGAAAAGGTCCAGCCCATGAGAGCCGTACTGGGGATGGATAAAGAGCTCTTGAGATTCTAGGGAGTGGTTGCACTCATGGGGACAGCGATTTGTCAGGTGACCAGGAAGGCAGCTGGGTCACCCCCACCCATGCTGTTGTTTGAACAGGCTGGTGCTGGTGGTTTGATTCCCAGTTTAGGGTGGAGGCGCCCCTGAGAGTTGGGATTGTGAGGATACCTCCATTTCTACCCCAGAAAGCTCACTGACAACCTCCCTTTCCCTGCAGAGTGGTGAAGGAGGAGATCTCAGATGACAATGCCAAGTTGCCCTGCTTCAATGGCCGGGTGGTGTCCTGGGTAAGGATCCTTCCTCAACCCTCCCTCCGTCCACATTCCTGCCATGGGCTGGACGGAGGAAAGATATCGCTAAGGTTATAGCTGATGGTTTTATGTTTCAGTATCTGAACTGTCCCTGAGTTTCTTTTTTTTTTTTAATTTTAAATATATTTTATTGATTTTTTGCAGAGAGGAAGGGAGAGAGATAGAGAGTCAGAAACATCGATGAGAGAGAAACATTGATCAGCTGCCTCCTGCACATCTCCCACCGGGGACGTGCCCGCAACCCAGGTACATGCACTTGACCGGAATCGAACCTGGGACCTTTCAGTCCGCAGGCTGACGCTCTATCCACTGAGCCAAACCGGTTTCGGCCCTGAGTTTCTAACTGAACAGTTTCTGCCCCAAATTCTATAGCCTTGGTGAAAACTGGGGTGAAAGGGAAAAGGCGGCTACAGAAACATACATAGGAGGCAAAACTGTTTCCTATGGCCTTGGAGGCACTTTGCCTCAGGTTCCCTTCTGTCACCTGCTGAGCTCTGCCTTGGACCCTTACTCTCCCCCCCTCCCCCTTCACCAGCCCATGCCTCCCTGACACCGTCCACCTGGCAGTGGGTCTGCTCCTCAGGTCAGCTGTCCTTGCACAGTCCTGTCTCTTTTCCCTCCGTGTCCCCAAGTCTGCTTCATTCTCCCCAAGTCTTCATGCCCTGCCAGAAGCCAACTATCCTATGTGCCCTCGTGCCATACTATCTACCCATTTTCTCCCATCAGCTGGTGTCAGCTGAAGGCTCACACCCAGAGCCAGCTCCCTTCTGTGCTGATAACCCATCGGAGCTGCCACCTCCCATGGAGCGCACAGGAGGCATTGGGGACTCCCGGCCGCCATCCTTCCAGTGAGTGTGACCTGAGGGTAGGCAGGGCCTGTGGGGAGGGCCAGGTCAGCTCAGCCCAGGGCTGGGGGAGGGAGCCCCCAGCCTGCCCCCTCCCCCACCAAGTCCTATCTTCCCTGCAGTCCTCATGCTGGTGGGGGCAGCCAGGAGAACCTGGACAATGACACAGAGACGGACTCCTTGGTGTCTGCCCAGCGGGAGCGGCCTCGCAGGAGGGACGGCCCAGAGCACAGTGCGTCTTCCCTGAACAGATGCCTTCCCCATCCCTGTGCCCTCCCCACAGCTTCCACTCAGCTGACCACCTCTTTGCCCAACTTACTGAGCTCTGGATAGGACTGGCCCCAGCGCAGCCCCTAGCCTGCCTCTCCTCCCTTCCCTCCTACACTGGGCACTGTGAACCCAGCTGCCTCCATCCCCTGCAGCAACCCGGCTAAATGGAACTGCAAAAGGGGAGCGGCGGCGAGAACCAGGGGGTTATGACAGCTCGACTACCCTCATGAGCAGCGAGTTGGAGACCACCAGCTTCTTTGATTCCGAGGAGGATGACTCCACCAGCAGGTAGGGCCTTGGTTTCATGAGGACTGGTGGGCAGGTGATCCCTGAGGAGCCCTGAACCCTGAGGATACTGGGCCCCTGGGAGGGATGTGGGCTTTGTGCTGGGGACCTGGGCCCTGCAGTGCCTCTTACGGGGCAGGGCTAGGTCAGCCTGGTGGGGAACGACTGTGAAAGAGCAGTGCCACGCCTGATGAGAAGACACAAGCGGCGGCGGCGGAAGCAGAAGGTTTCCCGGATTGAGCGGGTATGGGACCTGGGGTGCTAGGGATGAGTGGGGCAAGGCCAGGGCTTATCCGTCCTTAGATCCCCTCCCCTGGGTCAGTGTCTAGAACCTTAGAGGGAAGGTGGTGGCTGAAGGCTCACCTTGAGGAGGAGCTAGGGGAGAGCAGTGAGTTCCTGCCACCCCTGCCTGCTGCTCAGAGTCTCTGTCTATTCCAGTCCTCATCCTTCAGCAGCATCACGGACTCCACTATGTCACTCAACATCATCACGGTCACTCTCAACATGGGTGAGTCTGGTGAAACAACACTTTTGAGTGCCTACTGTATGCCAGACACTGGGCAGACTCAAGGAGTTTAAAGAGACACAAGTTATGTTCCCTGCCCTCAAGGAGCTCTCTTTCATAAACCTAAACTGATTACTTCAGTATCTCATGATCAGGACTATGACAGAGAGAAGCACACAGGGCTATGGAAGCAGAGAAAAGCATCAGGGAAGGCTTCCTGGAGGAAGTGATTTCTGATTGCTTCCCATTTCCCATGTTTTAGCTGTTGCATTCTTGTTCTTTGATTTCTGCCCTACCCACTCTTTTAGAAAATAGCTGGGTGTAGTGAAAAGAGCCCCAACTTTGTCTGGAATTTAAATGAGTTTGAATACTGGTTTTGCCATTTAATGGCTTAGAAGAGTCACTTAAATTCTCTGAACCTCAGTTGTCTACTCTGTAAAATGAGACTGAGCGTCCCTGCCTCACATCCAGCAAGGATTAATGAAAGCCTATTGAGCATGCTGAACCCAGTGCCTGGTTCCAGTTCAATAAATGTTAGCTCTTATCCCTTTACACTGTTTCTAATAAGAGGCTCAGAATTTGGTTAGGAACCTTGCTCCCATCTCAAGGTCTTATTACTCCCTGTAGAAAAGTATAACTTCTTGGGCATCTCCATTGTGGGCCAAAGCAACGAGCGTGGTGACGGAGGCATCTACATTGGCTCTATCATGAAGGGTGGGGCCGTGGCTGCTGATGGACGCATCGAGCCAGGAGATATGCTGTTACAGGTACCATTGTTCACTGTGGCTGGTGGTGTACATAGGGAGTTGGGGAGATGTACCCTCTGTTCCTTCTCATTCTTCCTACCCTCTCTACCCTATTCAGAGGCCCCTTCTTGGTGGGGAAGACCTCCTGATCCACCAAGCTTCCCTAACTCCCTCCCCAGCACAGCTGCTTATCCCACTCCTGGTCCTATTTCCCAGGTAAACGAGATCAACTTTGAGAACATGAGTAATGACGACGCAGTCCGGGTACTGCGGGAGATTGTGCACAAACCAGGGTATGGATGGGCTGAAGCATTACGGAGGAGGTGCCAGGCATTTCTGGCTGTCAGGCAAGGGGCTTGGTCTCGCCTCCATACATCCTGCCCTCACTAGGGACACCCTTGCTTTCAGGCCCATCACCCTGACTGTAGCCAAGTGCTGGGACCCAAGTCCACGTGGTTGCTTCACATTGCCCAGGAGTAAGTGGATGGGGAACTTGGCCCTAAAACTGGTGTCTGGCATACACAAGCGCCGTCTCTCCTGCCTTCTGTGTTGCCCTGAACCCTCACACCTACCCTGTTGGGCCCAGCACTGGGCAGGGTGGGCAGCCCCTAACTCCTCATCCTCCCTGCAGGCGAGCCCATCCGGCCCATTGACCCTGCGGCCTGGGTCTCCCACACTGCAGCCATGACTGGCACCTTCCCTGCCTACGGCATGAGCCCCTCCCTGAGCACCATCACCTCCACCAGCTCCTCTATCACCAGCTCCATCCCTGACACAGAGCGTGAGTGTCCCACCCTGTCCCCTGGACCCAGCAGGCAGGGCAGGTGAGAGGGACTGATGAAGGCCCATGTGGAGACTTGCTTGAAAGGCAGAGGGGCTGGAGGGGGCTCGGCTCTTTCCAGCTACTTCACACTGCAGCTTCCCTCGGGACACCCGAAGCTCACTAAACAGTGTTTGGTTCTGAACTGGTATTGAGCACCCAGTGAGCCTCAGTTTCCTCTTGCAAAATGGGACTAAAGATGTGCACGTTACCAGGCTCCTGGGGGTTAATGAGAGGATATAAGTGAAGCAGTTATCAAGTTTGTGGCATAAAGTAAGCATGTAATAATGACTGCCATTTTTATTATTATAACACTCGTTATGCACTATACTAAACACCTTCATTTACATTGTTTAATTATCTTCAAACATCCCTATAAAGTAGACGTGAAAGTCCCTAGTTTTACAGGAGAAACTGAGTGTCCAAGAAGTCAATAATTTGTCCAACACTGGTCCATATTTATTAGGCGGTAGAACTGGAATGCAAACTCCCGTCTGCCTACCTCCACAGCCCCTTTCTGCCTGACCATTTTGCTTCCCACCCCCAGGCCTAGACGACTTTCACCTGTCCATCCACAGTGACATGGCTGCCATTGTGAAAGCCATGGCCTCCCCTGAATCCGGGCTGGAGGTCCGAGACCGCATGTGGCTCAAGATCACTATCCCCAACGCTTTCATCGGTGAGAGGGCCCCATGGTGGGTTGAAGGATGGAGTGGTGGGCAGTGAGGGAGCAGGATAGGCTGGTCGCCCAAAGCTGGAACCAGGCCCAGCCTCATGGCTTCTGTGAGGCCAAATGAGCCCAAGGTGGGCCTCCCAATCAAAGGTAGCCTTGCTCCCAGGCTCGGATGTGGTGGACTGGCTGTACCACAACGTGGAAGGCTTCACTGACCGGCGGGAAGCCCGCAAGTATGCAAGCAACCTGCTGAAAGCTGGCTTCATCCGCCACACTGTCAACAAGATCACCTTCTCCGAGCAGTGCTACTACATCTTCGGTGACCTCTGCGGCAGTACGTGCCTCCCACTCCCTTGCCCTGTCTTCTGGCTGGGACTGGGGCGGTGCCCAGGGGTGTGGCAGCAGACTCCAGGGAACCCAGAGGAGGGGGCAGCAGAGCTGGGCTCCCAGCTCAAGGCCTGAGTTTTGTGGTGGAAGCAGAACCCAGTTCAGCCTCTTCACCTGCCTTGTGTCCCCTGAAGGGGCTGGCATTTTCTAAGTGCCTGGCACCATGCTGATGGTTTCTAAAACGTCATCTCTATCACTCAGTCCTCACAACCTCCTCTCTGCCCTTGGGGAGATGGATTACTATCCCTGTTTTCAGATGAGGCAACTGAGATATGTAGACGGTAAATAGTCCACCCCAGGTCTCACTACTAGAAGCAGAGAAACTAGGCCATGGTTCCAGGTCTTTCTGGCTCCAGAGCCTTTGTTCTTCCCACCATCTGGGTTTCACCAGGTGTGTACTGGTGCAGAAACTTTGTCTTAGCAAGGCCAGAGTTCCTATCCTTGGGCCCTGCTTAGCTTCCCAGCATCAAGCAGGGTCCACCAGGGTAGGACCTAGGATTTGTCTTAGGCCCCATGTCCTCAGCTTCCTCAGACCTCTGTGGAGGGACTGTGCTTCAGGATGGAGCTAGAGAAGCTATCAGGGCCAGGTTGTAGAGAGGGGTGGGGAATGTCCAGCCTGTAGGTAGTATAAGGCCCTTGAAATCATTTGGTCTGGCCCTGCCAAGGCATTAGGGGTGAGTTAATTAAATGTTTGAGTAAATATAACAGGCTAATTTTTAAGTTGATAATTTTGTATGGCCTGTGAATGATGTTATAAATATCCAAGTGGCCTTTGGCAGAAAAAAGGTTCCCCACCCCTGTTGTAGAGGATTCTACAAGCTATAACAGAAGCTGGACTTGCTCCTGAAAAAGTGCAAAGCTAGTTGGGGGTAGTAAGCAGGAGCAGCCTGTGTGGAAGCCCTCTTCTCTTTCTGAAGCCCTTTGGAAGGGGGGTCTTCGGAACAGGACAGCATCACTTGGTGTTGGGAGCTGAAACCCTCCCCCAGCAGCCACCTCTACCTGAGGGAACCTTCTCTGAGCCCAGTGGTGCTGGCTGGATTCCAAAAACTGACTCTTAAAATGCTTCAGATTAGGTTCTAGGGACCAGAAAAGCTGTTTCTGCAGAGCACAAGTCCTGGTGGAGGGTGGGTCCCTGGCCCTCAGCAGCTCCAGTGTGGCCACATGGAGTAGATGCACAGAGTTTTGGAGTTAGACAGTTCTGAGTTCAAATCCTAGCACCACCCTTACTGTGTGAACATGAGTGACACAGCCTCTCAATGCCTCAATTTGTTGATCTGTAAGGTGGAAGTAATAGTAGAATCTATATCATAGAGCTGTTTTGAGGACAATGTAATGTATATAATGCTTTCAGCACCATGATTAGCCCACAGAAAGTACCCTTTAAAAGTTGTCCATTCTTCATATATTTAATTGATTCTAAGATGAACACTTACCACGCATTTCAATGTCTGAAATTGGAGTGCATCTTACAACCAGTGGCTTCTTAGACTCAATCAAGTGTGATATTGTCATCCTTAGCAGAAGTCAGCCCTGATCCCAAATTTCCAGGGACACATAAAGCTTTTCAGAAGAGCTCTAGTTTTTGCTCAAGAGACATCCTTCTGTCCCTGGGTCCACCTGGATCTTCTACCCATGGACCTGGCACCAGAGGCCCAGCTCAGGGAGATACTGACATAACAGGTCTTTTCCTTCTCACTGGCTGAGGTGTCCTAAGCTGGGAGTGTGGCAAGCTCAAAGGGAAAAGCCGAGGACCTGGCTAGCCCCAGGAACACATAGTCACTCCCCTTGGGATGATAGCCTGGAAGTTGAAATAGTCACCAGCTCCTGGAACATGAGCCAAGGCAGGCCCCTGCTTACTACCACCACCCTTCATGCTAGCTGCTGGCCGTGACAAGTTCATGGCTTGGCTGGAAGACTTCATTGGCTGCTTTGGCCCCCTTGGGCCCCCTCTCCTTATCTCTTCTCCCCTGGAAGGTTGGGCTGGCTTACTTAAGGGCTTGGAACAAAGGGCTCAGTCTCTATCTGGCAGGCCTCTGGGACCTGGTACAGATGGGGTGTGAGTAAGGGGTGTCCAAGGCAGGTCATTAGTCCTAGTGGCCCCTTAAACTCCCTTCCAGGTAGTTCCAACATTAGTGGGGGCATCCTTATCCTTAACATTTTCTAGGGGAGCCAGAGTCGGGAAAGAAGTAATGTTAATACAATGAAGAACCACGCCTCCCTAGGAATGGAGTGACTTGTTCTCTTTCTGGGCCCTTCCCACCCCACTTCCACCCTCCCCAGCAGCACCAGGAAATTGATTCTCCAATGGCCTTCTGAAAGGCCCTATGTTCATTCTGGTTTTTAATGGGTATTTTTTTTTTAGTGTTAGGTGAGAGGGGAGGGCACAATTTCACCAAACTGCTCCCTACTCCTTACTAATTTCCTCATCTGGAAATGTAAAAAAGTTAGCAACTTTTAGCGTCTGTCCTGGCTACAGTTTAGGTTGAACTCAGGCTGGTCATTTAACCTCTCTGGACTGCACTTACTTCATGTGGAAAAAATGTGCCTAGCACCTTCTTCATAGGGTTGGGGTAATATTTGTATGAGATAGTGTTTTGTATTGTGCCTAATGAATTGCAGGTATGCAGTACCTACCTGATCGTTGTCTGAGGTGTCAGCCTCCTACATTCCTCTACCTTTTACCCTCTAAAGTCAGCAATTTTCGGTCTTTTTCATCTCATGGCACATATAAGTTAAATACTAAAATTCTGTGGCGCACACACAAAAAAATTGTTTTGCCAACCTGACAAAAAAGATCGGTATAATTTTGACTCACTCACATGGGACCGTTATTGTTGTGTTGGCCACTCTTTTTATTTGACAGTCTAAGGAAAAAGAGGTCAGAGCCCCTCACTAGTCAGGTACTGCCTATTTTAAAAATTCTGGTGGCACACCAGTTGAAAATCACTGCCCTAAGTGAACAGAGTGAGATTTGTCCCTTCCAGTCCACTGAGGAAGGAGGAGAAACTGCCAAAGGCTTTTCTGGGAGTTGGGTGTCAGGCTTTGGCATTGAGGCTAGGAATGGTGACTGGGGCCTCCCTGAGAAGGGTTTTCCCGGGGCTGTCTGCAGGGGCTCCCTCTCTACCACCTCTGCTGGGTGGTGGAGAGGGTTTAAGAAGGAATTCGAGCTCTCTGGCCTATGCCTCCTCCCATAATGGTGGGAAACTACCACTGCTGTTGTCATCTCATATGCATCCAATGCAGCCTGAGTTTTCCTAGGCTGGGACCTCCCTCCTGACAGGTGCAAAGGTATGGGGGAGTCCCAACATCCGGCCCTCTCCTGCCCTCCACAGACATGGCCAACCTGTCCCTCCACGATCACGACGGCTCCAGCGGTGCCTCTGACCAGGACACACTGGCCCCTTTGCCGCACCCGGGGGCTGCCCCTTGGCCCATGGCTTTCCCCTACCAGTACCCGCCACCCCCGCACCCCTACAACCCGCACCCAGGCTTCCCGGAGCTGGGGTACAGCTACGGCGGGGGCAGTGCCAGCAGTCAGCACAGTGAAGGTAAGGTGGAGGTGACAGGTAAGGCGGAGGAGACCCAGGCTTCCTCGGCAAGCTCTTGAACATCCACCACCCCTGCCCCTGCCTGTCCCCTACAGGCAGCCGGAGCAGTGGCTCCAACCGCAGCGGCAGCGACCGGAGGAAAGAGAAAGACCCGAAGGCTGGAGACTCCAAGTCAGGTGGCAGCGGCAGCGAGTCGGAC